GCGCTATTTAATTTTGAAATTGCATTGAGCAAACCTCATCATTGATATAAGAAACCAGGACTGACTAAATTAAGGGTAATGTAAATGTAAATGCATTTCTAAATTTGAATAGCATAAAAACAGCTGAACCAAATATCAACATATATGGTATATTTGGAATCGGAAGAAAAAAATTTATCATTCTAGCCAAAAATATACAGGGTGTTCCATTTGAAAAATGCAAGTGTTTGTTATTGTGACAGTTGGCATCTGTGATTTTCCCATTTTGACATTCGCAAAAGATAATAGATATAAAACCCCTGCGTTTTGATTCTCATCAAATTTTACTGATGGATCCACCATTTTATGTCGGTCATTGTCATTTTCCATTCACTAAACAAAGATAGCTAATTCATCGGTGAAGCCACCGATGAGAATAAAAACGCACATATCCTTACAACTTTCATATTTAAAGTTTGTTTCCACCTCGTATAGCTAAAGCTGTAGGTACGGGTCAAAATATAAGGAAACACGCTGTACATGAATGCAAGGTCCATTAAAAACAAGACCAATCAAATAGAATTAGTCGTGAAGAGCCTTAAGGTAAAAATTCATGTTATAATTATGAGTGAGACATGGTTGAGACCAGGAGAAGAAAAGTTTATTAACATTCCGAATTACAATGGCTGCTTTGTTAGTAGAGACAAACACAGTGGGGTGTAGGCATTTTCATAGACAAAATCATCCCATTTAAAATGATAAAAGAACTTAACTCAGACTTTTCGAAGCAGTGGCGCAGCAAGACTTTTGTCTGAGGGAGGCCATGCAGAAAAAATTATAGGAATATACACACACCCACTATCTTTTAAGCTTTTTATGATATGAGCAGGTTACAGCTTTTGTCTACTCCATTTCGATGCTTTCTGTAAATATTGTAGATGTTATGGACTATAAAATGAATGTCTTTATCTAATAATATGAACATTTCTTGGAAAGCGTCTCTGATTCCAGGAATATTGTAATAGGAGATTTTAACCTGGATCTCTTGAAAAATAACAATGTTACACATTTCTACAGGAAGATATAGAACAATGACTACCAACCATCTCTTGAATGAGACAATGCTAATGAGAATATCAAATAATCCTTCACAGTTGTATCAAATTTTAAAAGGGATAATGAATTGACATTGATAGATCACAGCTTAATAAGCAACCATCGAATATAAGTTCTGGGCTTACCCTAAACCAAGACAACCATATCCCAAAGCAGAAAAAAATATGTATAAGGTATTTCAGATCTTAAGACAAGCATGAAAGCAACTTTTAGAATCTACCAGTTTACCGATTCAATTGTATAATACAATACAACAAACTCAGAGAAATTTTCATAAATAATATGCATTTTCAAGTTAAAGAAGTCTGCAGGGTCACTGGAAAAGAGTGGATTAGTCAGAAAATTGTAAAAAAAAGAGACAATTATTTCAAAAAACTAAAAAAAAGGAACTGAATACTATAAAAGTAAACACAAAGAGTATAATAAGAAAGTTAAGAAACAAATTAAGTATGAGATAAAAAGGTACTACAAAGCTGAATTTGAAAAAAATCTTGGGGATAGGAAAACATGAATAGAATAATAGACAACAAAAACCAAGCAAGCCATAATTTAATTTCATCACTAAAGGAAAATGGTGTTTTGTTGACTGATCAAATGACATATCAAATTCATTTGATTATTTTTTTTATTAACCAGGGACCAGATTTATCAGGGAGAACTCAGCACATCCCAGTAAGTACATTAAACAGTGTTAGAGACTCATTGTTCTTTTCACTGGTTAGGGCTATTGAAGTAGAGAACATTATCAGTTTAAATGGACAAAAATAAGGCATATGGAGTGGACAGTGTTCAACACCTTAGAACTGAAGTTTCAATTATTTTAACTAAAGTTATTAACTTATCTTTACACCATGGTGTAGTGCCGGACAAATTAAAAATAGCCAAGGTAAAACCTGAAGACTGTAAATTAGCTTCAAACTATCGACCGGTATCGGTTCTTTCAGTATTCTCCAAAATACTGGAAATTTGTGTAAATAAATGTCTTGAATCTTTCCTTTGTTAAGAACAGTGTTGTTCAGAGGGCACAATTGTGCCAAAAGTGGCACTTTTCGCGCGCAAAATGCACGGTGGCACCACTTTGAAAAATTTGGCACGATTCACATTTATTAGTTATCACTAAAATATCTTTAACAACATAAAGTCCGTCGATTTTAATCTGATACTCGAGAGGAATATGAGCTGGTGGCTGGTGGCACCCTACATCAGAACGCCAATGGTCACCTGACGTCACACCTGTTTCTGCCATATACTTCACCCCCTCGCTCCTCATACGGAAAGTGTCAAATAAAAATCGACGAACAACAAACACAGTACTTATAGATAAAAAGATAACCTACAAACACAGCTTCAAAATCAATACAACACTTTTTGAAATTAGAACACGTTTCATCCAAGGATGAGATCGTTTACGTAATGTATGGTCAGGCTTAAAGGGACTTTTGGGCGGTCAACGTAAGTCGATGCGTTCACGGATACGGATACGTAGAAAAATTTAGGTTTTGCTTAAGCCCATTTTACAATGGACGTAACGTAACCGTAAAGACATAACATAAGTTCTGAGCATGCGCATATTAGATTTATTTGCGTCAAATATGTCACCGGAAACTCAACGTAAAAGAAGATGAGAATTGGTCAGCTCTTAGGTTGCGTTTCCGGTGAGAGTTTTCACGCAAATAAATCTGATGTGCGCATGCTTAGTACTTATGTTACGTGTTGACAGTTACGTTACGTCCATTGTAAAATGGGCTTTAAAGTGTCTATTATCTTTTTTCAAATTTTCAAGATGAGAAAAACTGGAACTGGAGCAGGATTTTTTGTTTATTTCTATTCTATTGTATTTTTTGTACATTTTATGGTCCTGGGGTTCAGATTCTCAACCTCTAGTCGCAATCTATCGACTCCGACTTCCCATTGCCTTTCTACAAGGAATCGGGACGTTACGTATCGACTTAACGATTGAGAATCCCACTGCTGCTGACCTGTGGGAGTTGTGGTGAATCTGTCAGGTCATTGGATCTGTCAATGTGAGTGTGACTAGTGACAGTGATGTGATTGTCAATTGTCAATCCAGATTAGTTGCTAAAACGGCTAAAACCAAATTAGGACTTCTCTTTTATGTGCAAATTTTCGAATTAAGAGAGATTAAACTCTCATTCCATACGGTGCATACGAGTATTAATATATGAAATATATTATATCTTTCTCCTTTTAATCATGCGATAAAAAGAAATGGGTGAAAATTCAAAAAATCCTCTCCCATCACTTCTTATTAGGTGGCACTATTTGGCACTATTTGAGTGTTGCTGCAGGCACACACAAAAATTCCCCAAGAACAACCATGGTTAAGAATAAGTTTTTGTATGAGGGTCAATATGGCTTCTGCAGGAACACAGAGACAGCTGTGTTGGATCTTATATCAGATCTCCAAACGAAAATAGATCAGGGATTTGCCTACTCTTTAGTGTCTTTGGATCTGCAGAAGGCATTTGATACAGTAGATGATAGTATTTTCTTAATAAGATTAAAAAGGGCTGGAAATTTGGGTTTTGAGACAAGACAAAATTGAAACAAACTGTCCACACCAGAAAGACAAAAATGTGTAACAAAATTCAGTTGTTGGTTGATGCGAATCAGATGCTTAACTATCTGGCGTTTCCTGAAAGAAAATTCAAAATATGAAGATTTATTGCTAGCCGCCAGCTGTCATATCTTTCTCTCATCTTCATTCAATGTTGACCAAATGAAACGGAAACGTTTTTGGGTGAGACCAAGCTCAACAAAGCGGAAAAATTATGACTTGTTAGTTCAGTTACGTGAGGATGATATTGGACCAAGTGGTGAGATTCGCTCAAGTTTTTAAGAATTTTCTAAGAATGTTTACAGAAGATTTCGAGAATCTAATATGCCTTGTTGGTCCTGTAGTTGCCACAAGAGATACTAACTTCAACACAACAACAGAACTACATTTGTGTGATTTTCCACTGATTGACACTGGTCTCCTACTTTCGTCAGCACACTCGTCCACATTGCGTAAACAACTTGTCGTAAAATACACAGACAAAACAGAGATTCTTTGATCTTTACCGATTCACGAAGTCTCGGAATTTGGAAACAAAACAAAAAAAAGACAAAAATGTTGAGAAACGTATCGGATTTGTCGCGACTTTGTTGCGAGACATGAATGTCTTTGTCTTGTCGTTGTTTTGTCTGCTTGGTCTGGACACGGCATTAGGTAATATATTTGAACGCTGCCATCCTAAATGTTAATAGTATTGTTATCATAGATAAACTGATTCCTAGGATAAGAATATTATTTGTTAATTCTTCTAGGAGTCAATAAGGATGACATAGATGAACACCAAACACTTAGCCGAACTTAATAATAAACAGAAACATTTATACCCAGGGTTACTCAGATGACGTAGTAACTGTAGTTATGGGGAAAATTTTACAAACTTCTGCGAAAATGCAAAGAGCACTTAAAATTGTGGAGGACTGAGTCAAGAAAGCAAACCCAAGTGTCAACCTTGAGAAAACAGCAATGGTTCCCTTCAAGAAAAGAAGAAAACTAGATTATTTAGTCCCTCCGAAAAGTGTGTCAAATTCTACAATCACCGAGCAGAGTATGAATTCTTTCAAGAATAAGATCGACACCGATATGAGTGCATTATTCCAAGTGGATATTCATGATGTACAATAACACAACGATAAACTTACAAGTAATCCAATAGTTTCATCAGTGTAACTGTTTACTATTTTAATACCATAATAATAATAATAATTATAAGTTTTCGGTTTCGTTTAAATAAAATTGTGGAAATATAGAAACTTCTTCCTTGTAAGGGCTAAATCAATCTCTCTCAATAATAAATGAAATTTTCTTTAGTAAAAAATAATCAACTTACATCATGCAACGAAGCCATATCCGAATAACTGCTATCACTTTCATATCCAGACAATTTTGAAGCTATTTCGCTTCCGCTCAAATCCGAGTGTACTCTTTTTCTTCTTTTCGGTCCCTCTAGTCCTTCTAGCAAAACGAAATCCTTCAATCTTCTATGTTTGCCGTTTCGGAGCATCCTTGCAGGTGAATCTGATCGAGTAGTATAAGGTTTGTTCAACAATCTTGCGGTTCTTTTGGATGTTTTCGGGCTCAGGCTTCTCGGAAGCTGAGTGAAAACCGTGTCTCCGGTTATAGGGATTTTTTCAATGCTGTGTCGTCTTTTGATTTTTGGTAATATTTTTTTGAATTTCCGCACATTTAAATCTAGTCTGTCGATTAGTTTTGCATCAGCTGCGTCTAATTTGTTGAGGGTGTTTTCTAGATTCTCCTTTTTCGTCAAGTCTTTTTTGATTAATTCCAACCGTTGTCTTTTGGTTAGTTTTTTTGGTTTGGGTGCTTCTACGACTTCTTTTTTGATTCGGCTTGGGTCGATTAGGAACGAAAGGTCGGTCATTACTTCTTCCATTGACTGCTCAGGTTTCGGTTTTCTGAAACAAAAATATTTAATTATTTATGTTGGTTTGTATCCTATTTACAATATGTAGGTCAAAGGTAAAGGTAAATTTATCACCTTTCCCTATCAAATAGCATTGAAAGGTGATAAATTTTACCTGAACCTTTGGACTACTACAGATTATGAATAAATAGTATAAGGAAATTTTTCTTACCTTGGTCTGCCCGCTTTCCTTTTGGCCACCGTAGGTTCGCTGGTGCTACCCACCGAATCATCTTCGGGTTCTTTTTTGATGGCAATCAGAGCGGGTATTTTCTGAGATTTCCTGCCACGTTTTCTTATTGCTTTTTTAACCTCCAGGTTCTCTTCTTGTGGAAAAATCGGTTCTAGCACCGGCGTACTTTGTTCTGCTCCT